GGCGGGCACCTATATAGTCCCTGTACGCAAGAGAATCACTTAAGCCCAAGAGTTTGAGGTGGCTGTGGGCTGTGACGTCACAGTATTCTACCAAGGATGACATAGTGAGACTCTGTCTCAAAAAATAAATAAAATAAAATAAAAATACAGTGTTGTTGGTTACTTATGGTGAATGTACTTTAAGTCACTGAATTATACACTTAATGTGTATAGCTTTGTGTATTATACACTTAATGTGTATAATAAAGTGTATAATTTTGATATATTTTACCACAGTTTTAAATGTGATTTTAAAAAGTCACTTTGCCTTATCCTGATTTCTGTTTTTAAACTGGAGACATGTTGTAACTTTGTTTTGTTTAGTTTTGTATTTTTTTTATTCTGCCTTAGAACAAGTCATTTTGGACACTCAAGTTTCCCAAAGAACTGAGTTTTTCCCCTTAACACAGAAATTGGCTTAATTAACTGCTGTCTGCCTATTTTTGTAAATGAAGTTTTTTATGGAACACAGACATGGCTTTCATATTACAATAGTAGAGTTAAATAGTTGTAACAGAAACCACATGGCTTATAAAACCTAAAATATTTATTCTCTGACCCTTTATAGAAAAAGGCAACCCCCAACGTAAAGTATCATTTTGAATAACATACTCTAAAATGCATTTCATGTTTACCTACCTTACAACTCAAATTATTAAACATTGTTTTTAACTTTTTAATGGCTCATAATTACCATTACAACAACTAATAAACTGTGCTGTGAAATATTTCCTCTGAATTTAATATGGAATATGGATATATCTGTTCTAACATTATTCAGTTTTTATTTGCTGAGACCTTGTACTCATTTTTTATGGTTTTTCTGTTTTCTTCTTTCTTATCGGTAGTTATTTTTCATTGTAACAGCCCTACTCCCTCCTGCAAGGCCTTAAAAATAATATAAACACATTGCCAACTAGGCTTCAAATGAACAAATAAAATCTGAATGATAGTTTCTGTGAATAAACACCTATAAATATGTTCTCACTTAAAGGCTTTGAAACATAAATTTTGTCACTCTAAAGGCTTTAGTTTAATTTTGGATCTTCAGCTGATAGCCACAGAAATTTAGAGGTGAGGAGCTATTATAAAAGCTCTTGTTCCAAATTAAAAATCAAATTAAATAAGAATTCTCAAGTTCTCTGAATTTGAAGGAAGATGATATATCCAGGTTATTGCTGTTTATCACCTAATAGAAGAATTTTATCTAATGAGGAATTTAAGAGACTAAAAAAAACCAGCCCAAAAACTTAGAGTAAAATTTCAGAGATTAGACCACAAGGTATGTGTTGACCCCTTAACCATTAAACATAATTAACACTGTCTGAGTTCGGTTTGTTAAATCTAAACAGATTCAGGGTCCCAAGAGTTGTATATATAATATTTGAATAATCAACAAAACTGTAAATATATGTATGTGTTTTGTTTATGATAGGTAAAAGCTTTAATTACAAATATTAAAACTTTGGGAAATCTTACTTAAGTGTTAAATATATTAAAGCCTGTGTATCATTGAAAAATGAATATAATTTCTTTGCTCCATTTAAAGTGATTAACAATGTAACCAAGGCAAAACTAAAAACTCCTCCATTTTTCCATATCAGTAAGCCTTTCTTAGTTCTAAGACTGTAGTAAATTAATCTTAAAAGCAAATGAGGCACATTAAAAAATTATATCTGTCTTCTGTTCTTATTAAATTTGATTGTTTTAAGAAACCCCAGAGTAGGCTCGGCTCCTATAGCTCAACCAGCTAAGGCTCCAGCCACGTACACCTAAGGTGGCGGGTTCGGATCCCCAGCCTGGACCCGCCAAACAACAATGACAGCTGCAACCAAAAAATAGCCAAATAGCCGGGCGTTGTGGCAGGCGCCTGTGGTCCCAGCTACTTGGGAGGCGGAGGCAGGAGACTCGCTTGAGCCCAGGAGTTGGAGGTTGCTGTGAGCTGTAATGCCACGGCACTCTACCCAGGGGGACAGCTTGAGGCTCTGTCTCAAAAAAAAAAAAAAAAAAAAAAGAAACCCCAGAGTATGACAAAGTACTTTTACCAAGTATAAAACTAACAGATTTCCCCTTCTGTATGTCTTTCTCCATTTCCTCCAGGTAGATCAGCTGTTTTTTTCTTTGTAGTCCTGTGATATTTTGTTCAAACATTTATTACGCTATGATTTAAAGTACAATTTTTAGCACTGATGACAATGTACTACAACTCTATGTTTCTAGCTGGTGAGCTCTTTGGAGGCAGGAAAACTCTTTTCCTCCATCCCTCTCTCTTCTATCAACACTTACTGAGAAGCACACCAAATCCAGGAACACTTTAGAAAACAAAATCAAAACAATTTTGTCTCAAGGAACTCAGTCCTATAGAGAATAGTAGTCAGCAATGACTGATAAGCCTGAAGTGCTATAGAACAAACAGGAGGTTGCATTACTCCAAACCAGGATGGGGACCTTCAGAGCCGCTATCACTACCACTCATCCCAGAGCTGAAATACAGAGATGCTTCTTTATCTCTGAATTCCCAAAGCTCAGTGTTTCACCTATACTGTGTGTTTGACAAGCTATTTTTAATGAATGAATGAGTAGTTTTGGAGCTTGAAGTGAGGATAACCTAAAAATCTTCAAGGACAGGAAGTGAGAAATTAATATTTTAATCTTTGTTAGCAACTAAATCTAGCCATTAAATCCTAGTTTTGCCCCCTTTATGTTGTATCTTTCTTATTCTTTATTTCTTTATCATATAGGGCTCTTCTCTGCAGCTATCTGACAAAAGTTTCAAGCTCAGACATTTGGAAGTCAGACAGATGCCAACACTGACTAAGCATCACAGTTCTATTTCCATGTTCCTGGACCTATGATGAGCTTAAAATCTAACTTTCCTGGTAGATCAGAGTTCATTTCAGGATGTAATCAACTAAAATTTTAATATTCCAGCTTTATATTCTTAAACAAAAATCCTCTGCAGTTGAGCAGAGCACACAGCTTCACTACACTGTAGGTTTCAAATTATATGTATTTTATTGCTTTCATTTTTTTATACTAAAAATGCTTCTTCTATTCCCATATAATTCAAATTGAGCAATGATGACAAGAAGGGTCTGAGTGATCATAATTACTACAATAAAGCTGAGACAGGCATTAATATAGTGCACCTGATACATGACAGCATTAAGATGGAACTACAATAGTATTAGCATATAACCCACAGCAAAAACAAAACAACCCCCCCCCAACTATTTAGATTATTAAGTTTGAGGGAAAAATCTATTATATAAATGATAATCACTATACGCAATTACGTGCGCTAAACACGTGTTAAGGGTAGTCTATCTAACTTTATGCTCTGGCAACTGGCTGGCTGATTCATCACCAGATGGCTTTATAGAGAATAAACCTCCTTTTACGCAACAATTCCTGCTA